ATTATGAAGGGCGATGCCCTGGGCTCCCCGCTAAAGGGTACGGCACCGGCGGGAGGGACACTTCGCTCTGCGGCGGCCCAGGAGAATACAGGGGCTGCATCTCAAAACGTTTCAGACTCGGTGAAAGAGCATCGGTGTTCTAGGATGCAGAAGACAAATTTCACTCTCTCCAAAGCATCCCTTTGGGAAGAGGGCGGTCTGGCTGCTTTTAGGTTGTAGCGCTCTCTCTGTTTTATGTAGTTTCAGACTTTATATAATTTTTGTCTTATAATTAGTGAAAATTTGTTGGATGGGCAGGGCAAACGAGGAAGAAAGGTTGGACACGCAGTTGTTAGCCCCTGACTGTGTATTAAAATGGGTGAGAACATGACCGAGCTGTTGAAGAGAGGACTACAAGAAAATGAAATGTTTCTTCCATACCTCATGGAGACAAACAAAGATCAGTTCAGCCCATTGAGCTTTCCTTGGGAATCATAAAAAAGACTTTTTCAGAAACGATACTTCACATATAAGAGTTAATGGTACAATTTAAATGGATGACTTTTGCCTTCCTATACTCTGCCAAGGTTTTGTATTTATCCCAGCCTCTTCCACTTCCAGACTGGTTGTTCCTTACACGATACCTATGTTCTCAAGCAGAAAATGTTCTCTCTTGTCTCATCTGAAGGGTACTCTGGATTCATCCCCCGCCTCACCTGGATTAATGGCGTGAACTACATCCGGGCCGTGAAGGAAGCAATGGATGAATTTGACCGACTTCAGGTAGGTTATAGGCACACATCTTATTTCAACAATGCGATCTTGGTGTTGAATCATCCGCAGCTCCAAAAGTGATGTTGTTTACAGCATTAGTATTAGAACTGGGGTTATAAGTACAGGCAAAATAAAATGCTATTAGGTAACATGTTGAAAAAATCATGAGCAATTAAATTCTGTAACTTGTTTCCTTGGGACATTGAGGGAGGATAAATGAGTTCATAAAAGGATTAAGCAAATCTTTTGAGGGTTGGGTCAAGGGTGGCTGTTAAAAATGTTGCTCTGAGTGCAGAAACAGAGATGCAGCTATCTGCGCGTCCCTCGCGCAATCTGCCTTCTCTACCTGGGCGGCTTCCTGGGCTGCTTGGATGGGGATTCCTCCCTTTTCGTTGGTTGCAAGGCTTTTTCCTTTACTAACATAATTTGTCCTAAAGGGATCTGGATCTTCTTTCTCCTCCTTTTGGGAAGGATGCAGAAATATCCCTACTGAAAAACTATTTTGTCCCCTTGCTGTAAGATCTCCCATATAATCCTCCTACACGGGAAAATGAGATCCCTCCCGCAGGAGTTCATCGTCTGCATTCAAAGCCACGCGTTTCTTCCTGCTCCGCGGATGGACTGGGCTCCCTGGGCTGCGGCTCTCTGTGGGTTGGTGCTGGTGAGGGCTGATCAGCGCAGTGACACCGCTCGCTAACAGCAGGTTACAACATTTCCAGCCCTTTCTGTTCACTGGGATTCACTGCAGTGCCTTTGTCCCAGAGCGTACGGGTCTGATGTAGAAAAAAGTCCAAGACTGAGGATCCCCAGCTCAGAGAAACTCAGCTGGGAAAAAATGACTCAGCAGGAGAGCGGCAGGGCTGAGAGTGCTCATGGCAGCCTCATCCTCTGCCTGAAACGCGTTTCCCTGCGCTGGCTTCCTCACCCTTTCCTTCTGCCGTGAACAGGAGTTGAAATGAAGCGAACAAACAAAACCCAGGCATTATCACAACTAAATGTGCTGTTTGCAAAGCCGTTCTGCCCCTGGTTTCTTAAGAAACGTCTGCCGTGTAGTAAACCAGGGAGGGAGGTGTTTCTCCGTTGCGGGATTCAGCCGAATCCAGGCTCGCAGGGGTTAGCCGCAGCACATCAGGTGCTGGAGGAATATAAGCACGCTAAAAAAAAAAAAATCATACCACATTTCTAAGATGGCTTCTTCCTTCAAGCCACTAATCTTCTGCCCTAAATCTCTGTTGTCCTAGGTTACATACTGGGACGTGCCATGGATCATTGCTTACGGTCTGCATCAGGCAAAATAAAGCAATCCTCTCGCTTCAGTGCTGCGCTTGAGGAATTGCAGCCATCGCTCCCTCGTCAGTCACAAAACGGTTCGATGGCCCCTCGGTTTGCTCGGCTCCGTGACCCCGGTCCCCTCGCCACCGAGCAGGGCGTGCACCGAGGAGGGCGGCGCAGCTGTAGTGACACCTTTAGGGGTTTTGCCGCTGCAGAGACGTGCAGAGCTGCAATAGCCATCCTCCAGCGCAGCCCCTTACCTGGGTCTGTCCTCGGGACGGAGCCAGATGATTTACGCTCACCCTGCGGTTAACGCTCCCTAAGCCTTCCCCTTCCTCCTAGCTTGGGAATTACGGGCTAAGCACAGTCACTGGGACTCATGGAAAAACCAAACCAGTTGAAGGGGTCAAGCCAAAACACAGATGTGCAGAGTCATAGCGCAGGAGCAGACGAGGCACGGCTCCGGCTCCAGCAGATACTGCTGGCTCCCGGCGTGGCAAGCATACGAGCACGAGGTGTTTGGGACTGGCGGATGGCGCCCAGCGGTGATGAACGCAGCCCGGTCTGTAGCGATCCTGAGGACTATGCCCAGGCCAGGAGCTGCTGTGGGCAGCTGGGGTGCGAGCTCACACCTGGCAGGAGAAAAACTCATAAAATGGAAAAAGGGGCAGATGCAATGTAGCTCCTAAGGAGGAGCTCCTAGAAGGAAATAGAACTGGAAAGAGGATTGCTGTACGTTGGCTTAAATACTTCCTCGAATATGGAGTCAAAGCACCTGACTTGGTTAATAACAATATGGCTTAAAATGAACCGCACTGTGTTACTGGGTTTCTCTTTTGTTTGTTTTCCAGTTTTTGCAGAGAAATGCAGCTTGCGGCTTTGGCAGGGGATTGCCCCAAACATACTGGCCTAACAACAGAATTTACACCAGCGCTGGACTGATACCTTCCTACTCGGGCTTCGTACCAGGTAGGCTTGTCATCAGCTGAGTGAAAATGGAAGTCACTGACACTGATTACTGCCATTAAGTAGTGCTGTTATTAGCTGTAGTGTCGTAGTAGGGAACAATTACTGAGATGTTCCACAGGGGTAGTAGATGTTTTTTCCAGTCCGTGCCAAGGCGCTGGAGCCGTGCCATCCCCGCCTTTCCGCAGGAGAGCCCGTCGGCCTCGCTGCCAGCCTGGGCTTGCCCAGAACCTTCCTCTGGTTTCCAGCCACCAGCCCCCTGCTAAGGCGGAGGAGACTCAGTAACATCCTGCCTGGTACAATGGCTGCGTCAGGAAAAGTGCTTCTGTTCTCAAAAGCTTAAAGTCTGATGAAAAGCAAAAGGTAGATGATGCCAAGGGGTTGAGACAGCACGAAAAAAGCAGCGAAATGGTATTAGCCATCAAGGCAGGCGGTGGCTACCCCATACCGTCTGCCTGGTCCTTCTGTTATCGGTGCTGCCTAAAAGGAGCGAGCTGAAGAAGGCAATTTTGGGTGTGTTAAGGGGAAGGTGCTCATGCACCTTGAAAGCATTAAGGTACCAGGCTAAAACGTCAACAAATCAGCAACTGATATTGCTATCTTTGGCCACAGCAAAGTCAAGAGCCCACAGCTCAGTAATGTGGGATGGGACATCATGGAGCTAAGGTAGAAAGAACCAAACTCATAGCTTGTACTTAACGCAACGCAGAGGAGGAAAATGGTAGAAGACACAAAATGTGGGAGAAATGAAAGGAAAGAGGGGGAAAACAGCTGCAGGGCTGGACTGTAGCTGATGATAGCCCAGCGAGGAGAATGTTGGGGCAGTGAATGCGGCTCCAGCAAGACTGGTACCGGGGGCGTGGGGAAGCCATGCAGAAAAAGCACAGTTTAACAGAGGGCCAGTCAGCAGGAGCCTGGGGACGGTCTGAGGGAAAGGACGGAAGCATCTTGGACACTGATGGCGAGAGGTGAGGCCGGGCTGAGCAAAGGGGGAGCGGTACGTTCGGTCTGGCCTGTCACCACACTGCGGCCCCGGGGCAGAGGGCAGGCGCAGCAGCTGCCGTCCCCGGTGCCCGACGCGCGCCTGTCCCCCTCCTTCGCGCGGCGGCGGCTGTCTCACGGCAAAGCCCGGGCTGCTCCGGGTGCCCGTTTCCTCGGGGAGGGTTGGGGCCACGCTCCCCACGGCTGCGGGCCAAAGCCCCCTGGAGAAGGGCTGTTAGGAACCCGAGGGTGAAGTGGACTCCAGCGTTAACGCTTACCCCTGCGTTTTGTCAGGGGAGAGCAGCCGGGGCGCTTCAAGGGAGGGCGACTAAGGGAGCTCTGCCCAAAAGGGGGCTGGGGGCCAGCGCTGCCCTGCCCGCGGCACCAGGCAGGCCAGGGAACACACCAGCTTCGGTGCGATGGGAAGGAGAAAACCCACCCTAAACTCAAGGACAGACGTCAACTGCCTCAAGTGTTACTCCATGCTTCACAAACCTGTTGCCATCTTTTCACCTGCAGAAGTATTCTCCCGTGTAGGTTTGAAACCGGCCGCCTGTTTCTGTAGACAGACTGATTTGCAGTCGGTGCAATTATAACCACTCCAACCAGTTCAACTCCAGAAGGAGAAACTTATTTTTAAGACAGAAAAACACAAAATCAGTTACAATTAACAACACCAAACAGAATTTCTTCAGCAG